ATGACAGTTTCTACCAAAACATTTTTTTTTTGCTACGCATAGTTATGAGGCAATTTTATTTAAATTACTGTATAGTATTAAATGTAGACATCTTTTTTAATAAAAATTAAAATATTAATTTGTTATGTTGTGATAAAATGAAAAATTTCAAAGTTACTCAAGCTTTTCCTAATTTGCTTTTCGGCCCCATGGATAATGGGCTTGAATCTAATCCACCAAGGGTGGATCAGCCTTATAATCCAACAATATATATCAGATCAAACCAGATATATAGTTGCTGGATTTAGCCATTGAGTATTAGGAGACAATCTTGTCATCTGAGGCCTCTTCTAGGATTCATAATGAGGACGATGGTCAACGTTCAGAGGATTGGTTGGATGGCTTTCAATTTTCAAGAATCATCACAAACTCTTTCAAGAGCAAGACTTCTCAAGAAGTGCTTTAGGGATGGAAGGATTTCATGCAGGGTTCTTTCAGCAAAATTGAGAATTCATCATGGGAGATGTTTGAGAAATGGTGACTCAAAAAGTGAGTTTTATTTTGAAAGAAATGAATAGAACAGTTATGGATCTAATTCTAAACTGTCGGGGCTGCTTCCTCAAATTAGTTTATGTAACGTGAGTTACAAGATTATTTTAAAGATTTTTAAGTATTCCTTCAGTGGTGTTGAACATCATAAATTCTTTTTTGGATGTAAAAGTATGTAAAGTTTTCAAAATATTACAAAAATACCATAGTTGTTAAGTAAACTAATATTGACGGTTTAACAAGCAAGTTATCCAAAAAAATAGTGCAAAAATACATATGAAAATTTCAAAATAGTATAAAAATACCTGTAAAGTTTCCAATGTCTTAGGCATTTTTGCATCATTTTCTTAACCTATATGTTTTTTAAACTACTAATATTAGTTGATTTAATGGCCGTGACATTTTTACACTATTTTAAAAACTTTATGTATATTTTCACAATAAAAAAAAATTATGATTTTATATGCTCGCGGTGAAATACTTCATAGGTAAATTTGTATCTTAATTCATGGTTCATGCATAATGTTACTCCATATAATATATATATAAAGATATTAAACATAAAGTGGTGTACCACTACATATACCACTTTGTTCCTTCCTACTTGTTACTTGTACCTTATTTCGTGCGTCATTTTCAATCCTACCCCTATTAATTATAGTAAAGGTGGAGAGAGAGAAAATGAATGAAAGAAAATATATTATTAGTATTTAATGCTCTCCTTAATAAGGGCAAAAATGAAATTTTTTTAATCTATTTAATGTTCTTCTTAATATGTGAAAAACTTCTACGGATGACAAAAATAAGTAGCAGCTCCCAAGTCAATCAATACTTGTGTTATAGAACCAAAGAAAGTTTGGCCCGTTTGTCATTAAGTTTGAAATCATTTTATAAGCAAGTAGATTAAGACAAAATTTTTCTCATATATTTATTTTATATTCTGTAAATGATTGAAAAATTATTTATAAGTTATTTTAAATGGGTTCTTTATAAAAGTTCACGCTTCCGCAATCAATTACAAGACTCCCTTCTTGAAAATGATCCAACTTTTGTGCCAAAAAAAAAATGATCCCACGTTTTTCTTTGGTTTTTTTTTTTAAATTTTTTTAACCTTCGTAATATGATTAATAACTTTTATAATTATAGTCACAACTCCATTAATATCATTTACCACTTGCTCTATAGTCTACAGGTTTAATATTTATGGGATTGCGAATTTTAATGCTCCTTGCAATACCCTAGGTCCCAAAAATTTTTACGTTTTGTTTTTCTTTTGGCCATTAAATTATAATTAAAGTAAGAAATATTTTAATATCTTATAATCAAGAAAATATTACAGTTATGTTTTTTCTTTAATATATTGTAAACAAAACACACAGTTTTATAGTATCTTGCCTTGGCTGATAAGAATTTGCTCATACCAATTTCATCAGTTGAATCAATTCATGATCGATTATCAGCCTGTTTGTTGAAGCGTTTAGGGGTGAAAAAGTAGCTTATAGATATAATAAATTAGTTTGCAATTTTAAGAGTTGTTTGTTATAGTTTTTGACTAATATGACTTATGGGTCAAAAGTTATTTTTTTTAAGCATAATCATAAAAGTAACTAAAATTTACTCATGACTTGTACAAAAGTAGCTTTTTAAAATTAAAAGGCATTTTTATCCTTATGTTTATATTGTTCTGATGCTTTTCTCTATATATTCTTTATACTTCTCAATCATTCTTTAGTTATTTATTTTTAATATTATGTTAAGTGAAAATAACTTTTAACATTTTTTATAATATTTTTAATTTTTAATATCATTTTTAATTTTTTATTTAGATAAATTATGTAGAGTACATCATCCAATTAATTATGTAATATTATTTGGTTCAAAAATTTTCACATTACTATGATTTCTAATTTAACTATGTTTTATTTATTAAATATAACTTTTTCCTATTATAATAATTTAAAATTATTATATATTGTGAATTCATATTTTTAATCATTATTTATTATTTAATAAAAGTCATGCCTATTTTGATCATTTTTCAAACTAAACTTACTTATTCAATCATAATCCAAACAATTGTTTTATTTTAGAAACTAATTTTTATAAAAGTCAATTTAAACACAAATCATATTATCCAATCTCATTTTTACTCAATCTCATTTTTCTGAAAATCAGATTAAAAATAAATTATTATTTTTTTACTGCTAATCCAAATATATCCTATGGAATGATTATCTTGTAAGCTAAGACGATAGACACATCAACCATTTTGTGTGCGGAAACAAAAAAACTGTCATTCGAGTTTGTCAATAAATAACGCATATAACTCGCATGACTCTCATCATCTGCTGTCTTGCGCAACTGAATTTCCCAGAAATGTAACGGACATTTCCTTCCCCTCGAGGCTCCTCACAAAATCCTGAGTGAGATTTTTCGGTCATTTCGATGAATTTTCAAGTTAGAAAGTGCCTCAACTCTCCATCATATTGGAGCCAAAGACGTTTACATCAATAGATGCGAGTGCGATATATGTGTGTGAGAGAGAGAGAGCGCTTTTAATAACCCTCATTAAAAATCATTAAAAAATATTTAATATGAGTAATTATTTGTTACATGATATTAGGTAAACCTATTGAAATAGGATTGGAAAATATCACCTTCCACCATAATATTTTCCAATACCACATATATGAATTTATTTAAGGGAGAATCCCAATTAAATCCAACTGAAATACCTAAATTCAGATTTAGGCCTACACTTTTAGCAAATTCCTAATTAAGCCATGAGATCTAATTAGAGATTTTTGAATGTTGTTAAATCACCAAAATGTCCCTCTTCAATTAAAAAGAAAACTTGATTAATATACCTCTCTCAAGTAATTCCTCATCTCTTATGATTTTTTTTAGACCAAAAAACATATAAGTAATTTTACAATGTTTGAAATTTGTATATATAACTTATACTATTAAAAATATTTTAATAAAACATGTTAAATTACAAATATAAGTAAAATTATAAATATTTTTTATTTTCAGTTCTTGTAATTTACGTTAGTTTTATTTATTTAAACAATATTGGATCGAACTGAAAACGTAAATGATTACGATTTAATATTAAATTTTTATTATAATTAAAATATTTTAAAATTTTAAAATAAATATTTACAACCTGAAAAGAAAAAAATATTAAAAATATTTATTTAAAGATTACATATATTATAATTTGAAATGTTTTATGAAAATATTTTGAAGATTTTAGTTATATTACAAAATTTCAAACACTAAAAAATTATTTATATTTTTTTGTCTAAATATTAATAATAAGAGATGATGAACCACTTTAAAGGGATAAAATAATCAATTTTCATTTTTAACTAAAGAGGGGCATTATAGTTACTTAACAATATTCAATAATTCCTAATTAGATCTTATATCCTAATAAAAAATTTGTTAAAAGTGTAGGCCTCAATTTAATTTTAAATATTTCAGCAGGATTTAATTAAAATTTTCCCTTTATTTAATCTCATATAAAAAAAAATTTCTCATGCTAAACACTTTTTTAATAGGTCTTTTTAATTTCAATCTCAATCCCTACTTCTTATTTTTAATGTTTCATATCAAACGGAACCGTAAAGTATTAGGCTGATCTGTTTAGATTTCATACAATGTGTTGATCTTAAACTGTGCCTACTTTTAGTTGTTGTATATTTTCCCCCAAGATAGGTAGACCGGCGTAGTTGGATTCATCCAACATGTATGTCCCCACAATCGTTAATGTCTCTATCTGGTTGAGTTTCCCAGAAAGCAAGGCAAGCAAGGCACTGGCAGACTGGCAGTTTCCTTCCTTCCAGAGTCTTGACAAAATTTTGGACACGAGTTTAAAGTAAACAGCGAATGTCGTACTCTACATTATGTCTAAACTAAACACACCATTGATCATGTAGGCTGAAAGTACTCCTTTTGATCTCAAATATAGGAGCTAAACCTAAATTTACTTTATCTCCTAAATTTATAATTTTTTTTTCAAAATACACATATACATAAGGTTTCCATCTACCGTAATAAGTTTCCAATACAAATGATTAAGAGGGGAAATTGTAAGAAAACAAACCTGCATTTATTTCAAATAATTAAACTAACTAATTTCCTTAAAATTTTGTAAATTTGTGATCTAACTCCTACACTCAGGACTTGGAGAATATATAATTCTGTGTATTTCATTTGACGACAACATAAAAAAGTAGAGCGAAACAGAGATAGCAAATGTCATTTTCGGTAGACATTGCGCAACGCTTTCGTTAAACATACCTCGAAACTTCGCCGCTAGACTGTTTTTAAAGGAAGGCCTCCTCCAACTTCAACTTCAGAGCAGTACTTTTTAACAGCACTTGATCATACAATAACAGTCCACAGCAGCCGGTCTAATGGATCGTCCTACACCTACTCCGAGATTATTAATGCTATCCCTGAGAGAAGCATGGGAGAAGAGAATGGAGAGTTTGAAATATCGAGAGAGAAAACATACAGGTCTGGATCCTTGCGAACCTTCAAAATCCAACCACTTAAAGGAAGAAATCGGAGCATCAAAATTAATGGCACCTGAGTTGTTTTGGGCTGTTAAAAGAAGAGATGTGTCTGATAACGCGTCTAATTTCCTTACAGTGTTAGAGGACTTAGCTTCAGAGGAAGTAATGCACGTATCAAACATCATAGAGCAAGTCACCCGTGGAGGCAACACCATACTTCACCTAGCAGTTCAAAATAGAAGTCAAGAGATTTTGCGGCTAACTGCTAGCCACTTCCCTCAACTGATCACAAGGAAAAACATAGCAGGAGATACGGCTCTTCATCTTGCTGCTAGAAATAAAGGCAAGGGCTTAATCAATGTAATTCTAACCTGTTATGCAGAACAAAGGTTTTCTTCTGGAAGCCAATTTCATGACGATACAGAGATGAATCTGTTGAGGATAAAGAATGAGATTGGAAACACGGCATTGCATGAGGCTGTAAGGACACTTCATCTTGAGGGTGCTCGTCTCTTATTCGAAGCAGATAAAGATGTGGCGAATTATCTAAATAATGAAGGTAAATCACCATTGTACTTGGCTGTTGAGACAGGGCATGATGATATCATTGATCTTTTGCTGCAAGCTCCATTAGAGAATAGGGAGAGGCACCATGGAACCTCCCCACTCCATGCTGCTATTATGGCTATGAGTTCAGGTAAAGTGAAATAGCATAGTTGAAAATTGACAGAGCAAACTGAAAGAAAGTGCCACAAATTTTAACCGTGTTTAAACTTCTATAAGATGTTCTCTGCAGTTCAAATAAGCAAACATAAATTTCAGCCCTTGGTGGAGGGTTGGGTGGAAGACTGTGCCACAAATTTCGAGGCTTGCCCAGCAAAAGCGAAAATGAATTACTGTGGTATGATGAATTATGCTGATTTCAGTGAAGTTATATCAGTTTCACAACATTTAACATCTGAAGTAAAATTGCATAATACCCAATGATAATGGCAAGACATGAGATTATAGCTCTAGAGAGAGGAAAGAAATAAAAGCAGTCAAAGATTTTGATTTAGACATTCAGTTTGTTTGAATTTTCTTACAAGAAATCCTTCCTTTTCCTCTTTTCAATTCAAATATATTTTTTGCTGTTCTAATTCCCTGCGTTTTCAGAGAAAATACTGAGAAAAAATTCTGAACTGGTCTACTTGAAAGACCAAAGAGGTGGGACAACCCTGCACTTAGCAGCATCCAGGGGAAATCTTGAAGTTGTCCGTACAATTTTCAATGCATGTCCTCTAAACGCTCTAGAATGGGATCTAAAAGGACGTCTTCCCATCCACATTGCTTGCAAAAAAGGTCATGTTAATTTGGTTAAGGAATTTGTTGAAAAACCAGAACCATGGTTTGATCCAATGGATTCAATGAATCAAAAAGGTCAAAATATCCTTCACATTGCAGCAAAAGAAGGAAAAGACAAAGTAGTAAAGTATATATTGAGAGAAAAGAAGCTTGAGAAGCTACTAAACATGAGAGACAAGAATGGAAATACCCCATTGCATTTGGCTTCAAAATACTTGCACCCGAAGACACTGCTATTGCTGACTCAAGAGAAGAGACTCAACATCAACCTAGTGAATAAAGAAGGCATGACAGCCCGTGATATTGTTATGCTCAGAAGAAGAATACCACCAACGTTTAGAGAGGTATGATTAGACGCATCTCCGCATTTATTTTAATCATGAACTAGTATTTTTCAACAAAGATCCAATCCATCTTTGCTCCAATTTCTATCAATAAAGATGAAAAACTATCTAATAATAGGGATAATAACAAGGTTCCTCTCCCCGTTATCTGCAGTTTCTATCATTCACAATCTTGAAATCTATTGGCACCCCCTTGAGTGAAAATGGACGAAGAATCAGGCGTTCACATACTGAACCACCTCAGATTGGATGGATCAAAGATCGTGTCAGCACTATCTTACTTGTAGCAATATTGGTTGCCACTGTAACCTTCGCAGCTGGTTTTACTATGCCTGGTGGTGTCTATGGCTTTGATGAAAAAGAAGCGAAGAAAAGAGGCATGGCCACTTTTCTTAACAAATACATGTTCCAGCTGTTCACAATCTGTGATGTGATAGCTATGTATAGCTCGACCATGGGGTCTTTCATTCTGCTATGGGCTCAGCTTGGTGACTTCCATATGGCATTCAGTGCCACATACTTTGCTTTATATTTGGTGGGTTTGGCTCTGATTACAATGTCACTTGCATTCATGGCTGCAGTACATCTAGTAGTGAGCAATGTTTACTGGCTTGCTAACACTGTGATGACTATTGGAATCATCTTTCTTTTGATGTTTCTGGGCATATTTATTCTTCTAATATTCCCTTTAGGAGAGCGTGCTCTTTTCTTTCATCACATCTCTAACTTTATTTTTAAGATTATCATCCCATTTTCAGGAAGTTATGGAAAGTTGTCTGGGAATGTGAAGGTTAAGAAGATGAAAACAATGCATGAAACAGAAAAGAGCAAAGACAAAGAGGACACCCAACGAAGGATGAAAACGCTTGAAAGACAATGTACATTATAGCGCCTTTTCAAATAAAAATAACAACCAAAAGAAAGGGAGGAATGTACAAGTTTGGCTCTAATCTTAGAGATCAGGTCTTGAACTATGTGATATTTTGTGTTGTAGTTGTTTGATTATAACTAGTTTAGGTTGACCATTATCATAAACTATGTGCCACTTCATTACTTAAATTTTGTTTTGGGGGTGATACTTCATTAGTTAACTTGATCGAAGAATTTTTACGTTTGTCTTGATTTAATATTAAAGCTTAGAAGAAACTATAAGAATCACAACTATAAACAAGATTTAATTATAAAACTAGATCTAACATTGATTTTGCTTTGTTTAAGATAATGACCAATATTGTGTCTTCTATTTCTCTTTTAACATCCATCCATAAGATCTCAAGGTTAAAGAGGAAAGAAATGGATGTGCTTGCGTCTATAGGCTGTTTTATTAATGCGTAACACATGAATTTATCCTAAATAATGCATATAAAACTGAGAGAAAATTGTGATATGTTGGATTGAGAAAACGAAAATTTGGGAGGGTATTAATAGCCAATGAGCCTTGACAGTGGAATGAATAGTTTAAACCCCAAGTAAGATATGAGTTTATTCCACACCTACCCATTCCGAACAAAGTTTTTCCATAAATTCAACGTTAAATTTAAAATGAGAGACGTCAACGTGTGGTCTGCTTCTTTATCTGGCTTAAGATCTAAACTACAGATATAATATTATAGGATACATCTCATCTCACAGCATTAGGGCTGCTGGCACAGGAAAATCTGTGTTGCCTATGTAGCTTTCTATATGCTCTGCTAATTGCTAAGACTTGCACATGAAACAAACAAACAAATCATTGGCATGTACCTAAAAATGACACGTATCAAAATATAGTTTCTAGTTACATACATATCTAATAAGTCACTCGCATAGCATCGGTCACAATTTATAAGATTTACATGAATCTAATGTAACCGTAATCCCCATTATTATTCGTGCCCCATTGGTCTTTAAATCCAAGTAGTACGGTCGAAAGTGGCCATGCATGGCTAGCAGACTAAAGAGGGCACCGAACGGAGAGTGTAATTTTTCCAATACTTCAGTGCTCAAGTAAAAACACAATAAAGATAATAAAGTTCACTATCTAGATTTAGAGAAATCTAAGTAGAAACCAACAAAAAGTTAAAGTAAAGAAGACTGTATAAATGTTGCAAAAATAGAGATGGATTCAGCTTCTTTCATCACATAGCAAGCAGATACAAGAAATCTTTTATGACTGAATTCCTATTATCAACAAACTTGGCACTCAAAGATTTCTAAACTTCAATACAAAATAAAAACTGTATACGCTTCAAATATGATCGAATTAACACTACTTTCTACGATAGGCAAAGATACCAAATATGCAAGAATATGGAGATGATAATAACTTGAATTTCTCGTATAGGAATTTCATCGAACAAGTAGATGGCATTCCATGAAATCAAGCAATCCTAGAGGTAAAAACATTAAGTTAAGCTTCTCTTATGACGTATCATGCACGGCAGACTAAGCAAGCACAAGTAGAAAATACTGCTTTTGTAGACAAATTCTTTCAGAGACATTTGGTCAAACAAATGGACGGCATTGAAAACAACAGCCTATCAGTAATGATTATCAAACAAAGACGGAATGCGACAGACGGAAAGAGATAAGAGAGTGGAAGACCAAACCTGTCGGCGAAGCAAGTAGAAAGCTGTGGTTGCAGCAAGCCGTCCGAACTCAGAGATACGAGAGGTGGAAGTGGGACGGAGGGCTGTAAAAAAGACGGAGTAAAATCACTGTATGCCTTTTTCCCCTCTCGGAGTGGCTAATACAGGCTAGTTCGGGAGCCAAAGCTCCCACTGCTGACCGAGCCTATGGTGGACGGTGGTGTTCGGTAGTTTGGTAATAAATATAATATTTTAATTTATTTTATTTCTTGTGTTTATTATTTTTTAATATAATTTTTATAGTTAAATATTTCATCAAATGATAGTTTTAACTAATACATATGATTAGTGTTGATATATTTTCTTGGCATGATTTGATCTATATTCATTTGTATTTATCTTTTGATTTATTATTTTTATTAGAATTCATTATTCCTTTCTCCTATATATATTGATGTATCCATCTCATTCTAGCACATTTTTTTATGTAACAATTCTAACACAATTTTTATCTCCAATGATTTCTCTCTTCCTCTGTGATTCTAAAATGGTATCAAAGCCCTAATTTTTTTAAGGAAAAATAGCAAATAAAGATCCCCCAATATGTGAAATTGCTATTTGGCTTCCTCAATATAGAAAATGGCCTCAAAAAACCTAGTCTTATATTGCAAATATGAAATCATGGTGAAATATCTGAAATGCCCCTTAGCTATTTGGAAAAAAAGTATTGTCCTCCTCTCTGTCCCCTAGTTTCGATAACTTCCCTCTAGTCTCTCCACTCTATCCATTCTCTACACTCTAAAACATCATTCTTTTAACCCCTCAAAGTACGCATTTAGAAGTGTTACGGTTCAAGCAGATTACGAAACAAGCCCGTGGATTGAAAATTTGCAAGTTAATTCTCAGGTTACTATTCACTAGTTAAATTCCATATTTTTGGTCCAACTTTAAAAAATTATAACTGATTATAAAAAAATTATATTGAGGATGTTCTAAATTCTATTTGAAGCTCTTTGAATTCTTTATAAGGAAAAAAATTATAAAACTGGGTTTAACCCTTGTCAATCCGTACAGTTTATTCGTTGAAGTTTACTGTTCATTTGGTAAAAATTGTACTTTCTAGTTTCTCTGCCCCAACTTTAATCAAACATAACTCTTAACATATACATCTGTTTTAAGTGATCTACTACTTGTTTTAAAGTTTAGGATGTGTATTTTAACCATGTCAAATTTTACGAGCAGAATCAATTATTTAGCTCACTTCCACTCTGTCATTATTTTGTGACTCTTTTAGAGGTGCTTTATCTCCCTAACTTGCATCAACATTTTATGATTAATTCTTTTCATGTATAATCTCATTCCTTTCATGCATTAACCATTTCCATACATTATCATAGTCAGCCATACATGCCATCATTATTATTTATCATCACATAACACTAATGGTATGTTCATATCATACATTAACATACAAATTATACAACGTAATCCCATAAATTTCCTGAATTCTTTTCCTCTTTCCTTGCTTCCACTTCATGCATCTTTTGGTTGATCATTATCACCTATTATGGTTGGTTAAGGGAGAGTGAGATTTGGAGAATCTCACTAGCAAACATTACTATTATGTATGCAAGATGGATGCAAGTGTATGACATGCTTACTTGATCTAACTCATACTTATAACATATTCTCATGCTTAATGTTTCACATTAACATGCATGGCCATGAAAAACATGAATGAAACAGAGCATCATAATTGCTTTTACATCACATATCATTATCAAATCACATAATGCACATCAACACACAAGCGTACACATCAAGCACACAAGAAAGGTAAGTTCACTACCTTATATCCTTAAGCTTTCTTCTTGCTCCTTTTTGCTTCCAATCATTAAGGTTGCTTGCTCAACCTTTGCCATTTCTTATCCTTGATGTCTCATGGTCCTAAATGTATCAACGCATCATTTCCATTCATTCATTAGAGCCATGGTAATCAACAACATCAACATTTTGTTTTTTTAAAACTATATTAACTTCCAACTTTTGATCTTGATTTCCAACCTTTCTAACATTAATTCCACATACTATTCCCAGGCAATTTTGCATGTATAATCCATTTATAATCTCAAAATAATCAAGATCAAACTCTTTCCCCATGAATCAGCCTTGATCGAATAGTATGTACTTGGGGTCCAAAATTTTCATTTTCAATTGTAATGCTTCCAAACTTATTTTCTCACCTTTAGTCCACACAATTTTTCATTTTAAACATAGTGGAAGCATCAAAATCATCAAAATCCAATCCTAGCTCTAAAAATAGCTCTAGCTGAAATATTACTTAAGTTACATAATCATGAAATTCAACATAAAACAACTTGATTCTTGCTCCTTTCAAGCCTTTAAACATTATTCTAACATCAATCTCATCTTTTCCTACTCTTAAGAATCTCATGTAGCATATCCTCTTAGGGTTTCAAGCTCCCAAAAACCATTAAAGTCCATAACCAAGCTCAACAACAACAAGAGTAGTGAAAACTACATCAAAAATTGTAAACATACATTATTTTAGAGCTTGATCTTGTACGAGATCACTTGATCTTTCTCTTCCCTTCTTCTTTCTCTCTTTAGAATTCATTTTGCAAGAGTTTCCCCATGGTTTCAAATAGTCTTGGATGAAATGAGGGGAGGGGAGGGGGTATATATAGAGTTTGTGGAGAGGGGATATATATAGAGTTTGTGGATAAATCGTAGCCATTAATCTTGAAATTGCATGATTAAATCTTGGCCAATCATTTTTTCCTCTTTGTCTTATGGTGACAAGTGTCCTTATGACATCATGCTTACCTTATCATGCTTATATCATCAAACCACATGACCGTACATGTGTCTTGCATCCGACCGTACACGTAATCCCTTACATGTCTCTTTATTATTTTGGCATTAAGATACGGAACAAATTAATATAATATTCATGTAAAATACAGCCCTTAGGCATTCCTCCACCTATTTTGCCATTCTGCACCGTATTTGGTACTTTTTTAGGTCCTAACTTAATCGGGAGCACTAGGATATGTTCTGGTATCATTTTCTCATATTGAATATGTCCACATGGCATTATATAACATGCCCAAAGAGAAATTTAGGCACTTCCCTTGTTCTTCCATTAAAATAATTAATAATATTTATTTTGGAGTAAACTTGATTGAATTCTTTCTATCGGTCCACAAGTCTAAGAATTTGTTTCTGGGTACCAATACTATTTATTCATCATGGAGAATTTCTCTAATTTTTCTTAAGTCAAAAGTTAACCTCTAGACATTTGACTTTGACTTATCCTGGATAGTATATAAATAGGTTATAAATTCTATTAAAGCCAACCTCTTTGCTTTTTGGGGATGGAATTATTTTTAAAACCTATGATAATTCCTCAAGTATTTTCTCCCATTTTTGTCCAATTATCTGAGGCTTTCTTGTATTTTAAATAATTCAATTTTTACTAATATTCAAAATTAGTCAAAACCTTGAAAATTTCACA